CATATGCAGAAGCTAGAGAGAAATAAGGATTAAAAAAGGGCAATCTCATAAAAATCAAAGGGAGAAGAAAGGAGTAAAAAAAGGGAATCAAGGAAAACAAGGGATAAAAAAGAACAAGTAGTAGGGATTGAAATGGAGTAAATTATGTTAGGTGCATTTATAATTATATAACTATAACTCACTAATAAAAACATAAGAAGTTTTTTAAAAGATGTGCATTCCATATCAAAAAAAGAAAGACCTGAATAGAGTACATAGAATTGAATTTGTGAATAAAAGTAAATTTATTGACTGCTTTTCAAATTAGCTAATGACAGTCTTTGTTTATTTGTTTGTTTGTTTTAATCTGTGAAGTCAGGTAACCATAATGGAACTAAGAAATTATTGACAAAATATGCACAGGTGTTAGATAACCCTTGGTTCATATAAATGTTCTGTCACTTTCATTTCTTTTATTTTGGTTAAGCATCTCATCTTCCATTTAGAGCATATACCAGCACCATCCCCCACCATTCACCACCAATTGATCAAACTGGAAAAGTTATTTAATGTCTCAAAGGCTCAGCTTCCTCATCTATAAAATGAGTATAATTATACCTGCCTCACAGTGATCTTCTAGGAATTTAATAAGATAATACGTGAGTCCGGCCCATAGAAAGCACTCAGTAGGGTTAACTATAACTTTGTTGTTGCCTTAAATACATTTTAAAAGTGCTTAGGAGAAGCACTTTAGGATCAGGAAGTATATCTGGCTCAGATACCTTTATAATCTCCAGAACTCAGCCCATTGGTTTTTACATTATAGATACCAAATCAATGTATGTTAAAATTGATTGAGTTGAATCGATTGTGCTGAATCTGATTTTTCCTATGAAGAAGGGGAAGAAATGACTTGTTATAAGAAACAATGAATTCTCTTACATGGAAAAGTAGAATAGAAACCTGCATTCTTCCCAAGCAGAAGTTCCACTAAACCACATGGCCCTAGCACCCTATTCTGTGGTCTCTGTACACTATCCTTACAGTTCTGAGACACTATTAATAGACCCTTCACCAAGGTGAGCCTGGCTAGGTGTTTTCTGAGGCTACCCCTCCATTGTCCCTGCTGATAGAGAACAGACTTGAGTGGTGGGAACATGAGTTTAAAGGAATAATTCTATAAACAGAGCCCACTGTGCTAGCCCCCACATACTTTCTTTTTTTAAAAGGAAAGGAAGCTGGCTTTGAACACTTGATCCTCCTGCTTCAGCCTCCCAAACCACTGGGATTACAGGCATGTGCCACTGTGCCCAATTTAAAACAGCGATTTACGGCTGGGGACATAGCTCAGGTGGTAGAATGCTTGCCTGGCATGCCCAAAGCCCTGGTTCAATCCCCAGCACCACAAAAAAAGAAAGAAAGGAAAGGCAATTACCTGCAGCCCTGCCTGATAAGTAATTCCCCCTAACCACAAAATCTTAAAAGAACAGGTTCCAATTAGAACCAGCAGCATGAGCCAAACTAACCTAGAGCTGTCATGTGGGGTGGGGACTTGAAAGTCTGATGCCATACTGAAAGTCAAAAGGTGGACCTGGGCAGGACTCTCTCAAAACTTCCCTGAGATCCCCAATAAAACTGGAGGGCAGGAAGGGCACGACGCTGTCCCTCTCCCATCTGAAAGAACCCACTCTTTCCTTTGAGGGTATCCCCTTTTCCGGTTGCCTATCCTTTGGATACACTTGTACCTGTTACTCTGAGCAACATGTCTGAAATTTTTCTGGCTTGATGTAAGAATGGGTCTGCTTCACTTTCACAGCAGGCCTCTGCCCTGTAACAATGGCCAGCTCTGAACTGGTAGGCAACTCTCCAGAGGAGGAGGACTAGAAAAGATGACACTTTAGCATGCATGCCCTTAACAATTTCCTGATGAAGAGCTAGGGTTTTTTGTTTTGTTTTCAAGTAGATAGAATATTTATTTATTTATTCTTTTTAGCTACACAGGACAATAAAATATGTATTTTGACATATTATACATACATGGAGCCTAATTTCCCATTCTTGTGGTTGTACATGATGTGGAGTTACATTGGTTGTGTATTCATATATGAACACAGGAAAGTTGTCTGATTCATTCTACTGTCTTTCCTATTCCCATCCAGTTTTAATATTTGTAAAGCTTTCTAATCTTTGAAGCTAGGAAGGAGGATAGGGAAAGGTAAGAACCAAAAGTACAGGTTGCTAACAGTAGAGCTGGGTGGGCCAGCCAGGTCCCCAAGGAAGGAGCAGAAGGAGAGCCCAGGTCAAGCCTCCAGAATTGCCCTCAGCAGCGCCATCTACTGTGCCCGGGCTGTGTTGAGGGACAGGCGGATGGGATTCGGTTCCCCTGAAGGGGCTACTTAAGCTACACAAAAGAAACTCTCTTCAAATACAGGCATTTATTTGTAGAAAAGCATCCTTTTTTGCCTTCCAGGTAAACTGAGTACCAAACATTAAACTAAAACAAGGACTGACTCCTGCAATGGAATTCCTTTGGTAACTGGAAACAGTTAAAAATGGTGACTGTGCTATCCTCCGAGCAGCAAAACCTGGTTGAAAAAGAGCTGATGAAAACACTACCCAAAATCCTGCATTTGCTCTTCCTTCTCCATTCACAAGGGTGCTTCACTAGAGCCAGCCATGAGAGCACAGAAGAGTGACTGACTACAAGGCACCCCCAAGAACCGGGAAGTGAGAGAAGAAGGCAGTCTGTCTCTGGGGGTTCAGTAAAGAAATCAAGATATCACAGTCAAGAGATGCAAAATACTCTTAAAGAGACCAAATAGCTCCCAGGCTGTGAGAGGAGAAAGTAAGCTGATTAAATATATTAACATATCTAAAGGGAAAATGTTTTAGTCTCCAGGGGCAGCTGGTCAGCTGGAAGGCCTAAGAAAAAGAGAATTCCAATGGAAAATGCCAAAGGTGTCCATCCAAGCAGTCCAGGGGTCACCTTGCAATCTGTCTGGTAGAAGACAAAGATTTATTTTGACCAATAAAATTCCAGGCACTATGTGAACTTCCTTAACTTTCCAAGAATGGCTGCACTGTTGAATCAAACAACAGAGAGGCTGAGCTATGGAAGGCTCTGGCTCTGAAACTCTGAAACTCTAACTGACCTTGCTTGGATCCACACTCCCTGCAACAGGTGGCCAATAAAATCTGCTTCCCACCTGCCTGCCGGCCTTCAAGAAGATGATGCAGGGCCAAAAGATAGAGGGAAGAAAACCCCTCCAACTCTGGGTAAGGTGTGACATAGCATCTTGGCTTTCTGTATAGGTCCTATGATCTGAGTTAATATAAATGCATCCTGGAAGACAAAAATAGTGTCTCTGTGTGTTGACAAATATGCTTTACAGACATCAAAATAACAACAACAGAGGATTCTAGAAATGGGCCAGCCTGGCCAGCCAGGTCTCCACACCTCAGCACTGTGTGCTAAGTTTTGCTTTCTTTTCAAAGTTTCACATAACCCCGGGGCCAACTGAGATCAGTTCATGATTATTCTCTAAGATGTTTGATATAAACATGTAATTTTTCTTATTCAGCATCATTATTAATCAAAGACATGCAAATTAAGAAAAAAATTGCAAAGGGAAAATTGGCACCGGGTAAAAGCTAAAAGGCATTCTCATTTGCTGCCGGTGTGTATATAAACTGGAAATATTCAAAAGTCTTAGAAATATGTATGCTTCTGACCCAGCAATTCTCCTTACAGGAATTTAGCCTTTCTCAATTAAAAATATGTACAATTATATAACCACAATGATGGGTTTCAGAGTAGTTCATAATAGGTCTAACTTGGAATTATATAAATATTCAAATGTTGAAATAAGTTAAATAAATAGCTATAATGCAATAATATACTGACATTGCAATATGTTTCAAAAGTACATTTTCTGACCCAGAAATGTATTTTTAAATTTTCTTCTTTTTATCAAATTACACGTTCTGGTTTTTTTTTTTTGGGGGGGGGTCTTATTGTTTTGTACACTTATTATCATGTATAGCTCTATAGGTTCTGAATCAAAGTTGAGGAGCTGCCCTTATCTGCACAAAGAATAGAATCTAAAAGTTGGAAGGAAATTGAGGTAGGGTACTGAACCCAAGTCTTCTATGAGACACAAAAGGTACAAATGATTTATCTGAGGCCACCCAGCTGAGTGATGGCAGAGCCAGTGCCACAAACTCAGATCTGTCCAGACATTTCTGTTGCCTGCAAATTACAGTAGAACCTTGTCTCTATGCTAATCAACATTAGTGTCTCTACTCAGAAAGTGGAGGTACCCCTCTCGCTGTATGTCAAGCCAAAAAATGTGAGTAAAATAGTTCTTGAGGATCTCTAAGAGAACTGTGCACAATAATAAGAAACCTCAACTGCAAACTGCATCCTTTATAATCTTCTAGGATTTTCTACATGTGTCATAAAATACCAAACCTCTCTCAGGACATCTCAGAATAAATTGGTGAGATGCAGAGTGGAGAAATGAGGGGAAATGACCACAAAAATGAGGTTGTACTTTGTGACTCATACTTAGTCATTTCTTAATGTGAACACTCCCCTTCATTTAATAACCCCCATCATTCTATGCACCAGAAAAGAATACATCAGCCACCCAGAAGTTAACTGGGGTCAGCAGCAGCAAAATTAAGTCTCCGTTCTCTTCTGTGACCTAAGTGCAGTGACTCCTGACCAATTTCCAAAGAAACATTTATGGAAGAACTGCAAGGCCACATCCAACCTTGAATCATCTTTCTGCAAGAGCTGTTTTCTCTCCAAGCAATATTTATTTGAAGGCTTTTGATACCACAGGGGGATACAGTCGATGCTTCACTCCTTAGAGAAGCCAAGAAAGTAGCAATCAAGAGTGAAAGGGAATGTTCCGGATGCCCCATCTCCCCAGGCCTCCATCTCACTGTCACTGACAGAAGCAAACCAGCACTGAGAAAAGCAAGGGCATCTCATAAGGAATGAACGTCTTACTTACGGACACACATGTCCCTGCTTTCATAAAATCCAGGACAACACTGGGATTTGCGCCTATACATAGTTTTTTCCCCATGTCGATAGGCAGTCCGATAACTGATTCTATATAAAGAGAAAAAAAAATCACACATTAGTTCTTTTGACCCACAATTTTGTCAGAATAAATTTCAATTTTAATAAAAAGAGCTCTTAATTATAATAAAAATAGGCAAAAAAAGTACTTTCAAAAAATAAGAAGAGGGGCTGGGGTTGTGGCTCAGAGGTAGAGCGCTCACCTAGCTCATTCAATCCTTAGCACCACATAAAATAAAATAAAGGTATTGTGTCCAACTACAACTAAAAAACAAAATATTTTTTAAGAAATTAGACGAAACATAGAAAAATCGTCTTAACCTATTTTATGCTGACTCCAGAAAATTTTCTGAGATTATGTTGTGATTCCTTAAGTCACCCTGGTGGCATGGGCCACCTCTCTGTCTTCCTGTATCAGGAGCAAAGCTAGGACAATAGTAAGCCCTCCATAACTAGCCACTGAATGCATTGCTGTGCGTTCTCAAGTAACTGATATCTTAGATGGTATCTGACTCCATTGCCAGGTAGCCAAACTCATAAGCATATCTGAGTCTTCATTACCTGTGCCGTGTGCATTTAAACCAGTTTAGGATGTCAGTGCAGCTGGTGTAGTAAATCTGATCAAAGGGATGCGGGTATGACTCTTGCACAGTTACTGAATAGCTGGGGAAAAAAAACAAAGAAAATAAAGTATCCATATTTTTTCCTTTTTACAATAATGACATAAGCCACACTATAAAACAATTGTAGGCTAAATTGTTGGCAACTCCATACTGACTTTTAACAGAGAATCTCTCTATTTTCTTAGGTTTTTATTTGAACAAGAAGCCCCCAAAGACCAGTATTAACAATATCTTTCAATGACAAGACTTCATTCTGTACATTTCAAAGGAAATCAACTTTTACTATTCATTATAAACCCGAATATTCACCAATTTAAAGCATTTCACTATTTTGGTTTTTTTTGTTTTTTGTTTTTTTTTTTTTGTATTTAATTCCCTCCCCTTATCCCAGGGCTCCAGGGATAGCAAAGGCCTTCCACAAAAAAGTTTTTTATTTACTTCTGCATACAGATAATAAGGTTAATCATCGAAGAGACAATTCAAGTATTCATAACAGAGTACATTTGCTACTGATTCTGAAAAATCAGAAAAAAAACATTTTTCTCTGGTGGGAATTTGGAATAATTTGCTTTCATGTTCCTGTCCTACTTCTATTTCTCAGGCAGCAGAAGAGAATATACAACATCTAAATAAAAACTACAAAAAAATTCTTTAAACTTGGCTCTAAACATATGTCTGAGACAATTAGTCTGAAACAATCATACCAACAGCTTGTTGCTACTTAAACATTCTGTTTTCTGACACGTTTTCACTAACAGCTTCTTGTTAGAGTAAAAACATACAGTCTTGTCAGCTCCAAAATGTGAGTGTATTACGTCCATGAAACATTCAATACTTGGTCCCATACTTCTTAATTTTAAAATTTACTACATACTCAAGAGCTTAATGTCTCCCTACAAGAAAACCGGGAGAATTTTATTTTTCTAAACAATTTATTCTATTCGCTTTAAGTTTCTTAAAGATTTCCACTAAAGTCTTCATGCTAACAAACAAAATGGGCCATAATTACAGACCCACTTGCAGCAAATCAATAGCTCAAGTTCATTAATAGGAACTATCCACTAGAGAAGGTATGGAGGGAATGAGGTTGAGATTTCAGCATGAAGAGTTCAGGTTAGACAAATGACAGAAACTTGTGATTTAAAAAGCTCTGTGGTGCTGGCCTCACAAACAATGGGTCTTCTTTCTGAAGCTGGTTTCTGGTAGTTTTTATATACTTAGGCTTCAGTAGGAGATACATGAAATAATCATACTATACATGTTTGTATATATTTCATTTGGGGGGATAATGCAATTTGATTTCTAGATAAATTCATGAATCTTTCACAAATGTTAGGCAAAAGAAAAAGGTCTTATTAAAAAGACCACTGGCTTAGAAGGTGAGGTCATAATCTGACCTGACACTAGGAACTGGATGACCTTCAACAGAAAACCTCACTTCCCTGGGTCTTAATTATCTCATCTTGACATAAAAAGGTCAGACAGTGTAGAAGATCCCTTCCCATTTGGAATCCTAAATTTCTAACATACAACCTATATTTCTACCCCAGCAAAAGATCTTTGTTGCTACCAGTAAACATAGGTTCACTCGAGAATAGTTTGTACAACTGCCTGTATACTGTGATATAACTCATTTGGGGTAAAACAGGAGACCTCTGCTAAAATATTAATGTTCTTGTAATTGTTTCTCACAAGAAGCTATTGATATTTTCCTCAGATCCAAAGCAGTGTCCTGAGGTTCCGGTTGGTGCAATTCTAAGCCTTGCATGTCAATAGTTTTTTCCTGCCTGGCCAGCTACTTATAGATAACTGAATCTTGAGACTAATTGTATCAACCTCTTTTGCATTAGTAGTGGTGAGTGAACAAATGTCTTCTATGTCTGGACCTGATGTATAGGTGCAGTCCTACCAGCAGGAAAGAGACTTCCCACCACTCTGAATGAATCTGGTGAAAAGCCCTTCTTCCACCAGGCTGTGAGTACAAATTGATCTGAATTCAATCAGTTTGTTGGATCTAGATTAGATAGAACATTCCCAGAAAGTTCCAAAGACTATATTATTATGTTCAGGTCTGTATGTCTTGGAAAGCAAAAGTGATCATTAACAAATGCATTTTGGCCAGTTCCATTTGAGATGGGTGAGAGAACTGATTCCATAATCAAACATGAAAAACATTTCACTTCTACCAGCCATGAGGATTCCTTAAATAAGGGGAAATGTTCAAATACATTAATTTCCTCATCTTGCCACTGTTGCTCACTAACAACACACATTTCACAGGATGCCTCTCTGGTGTAGGACATAAACAGCTCTTCTCTATAAAATGTGGTAGAAGTATTTAGGATTCCAATTCAACAAATATTTATTGGACAACGTCCATGCAGTTCCTGCCCTCTGTGAGCTCTCCATCGTAAAGAGGTCAATACATAAAAGCTAAATATAATATGATATGGTTTTCATAGAGAAATATATAAAGTTTGGGAAAATAGAAGTATAAAATTTACTATGCTTTGAGCATTTCTCCTTATTTTTGACTCTTTTCACGAAAATCAATTCAGAACTGACTGGATAGAAATTACTTAACATATTAATCAGGAACTGAGACTTCCACTTAAGTTTGTAGGAGAAGTGTGCTAAGCCTCTCCAACTCAAATTTCATTTCTGTTACTTTTTCATACATTCTTTTCTGTATAGAATTCTTTTCTTTCTCTTTCTCTATCTCTCTCTCTCTCCCTTTCTTCATTTTTAAGGGTATTATACTGCAAAATTTGGAAAAAAATTTTAAGAGGCAGAGAACTCTGTTTTGCTCTGCTTCTTCTTCTCTAGGGTTTTTCAGTTTTTAGTTTGAGAGTTTTATTTACATTTTTTTCCATATTGTAATCATGCCATGCCTATATTTTTGAAACTTGGCTACATCATAAGCATTTTTTCATGTTGGTAAATGATGATTGCCAAATGTTCTGTAAGTGACTTTATCTAATTTGCTCAATACCCACCTATCATCAGGTAATTAGTTTGTCATTGTTCATGGGCCCACTTGCTGGAGGCCCTAAGTTTGCAGCATGAAGACAAATGTCTTTGATGCAGTCTGACCTCCTCTGATCATCACTGCTCTGGCCAGTGCCCGGCTACTATTGGAACTGAATTAGCTCCTCTGCTGACAGTCCACGGAACTCCATGTTCTTCAGCAGCTGCTCCTCAAGCCATAAACTGGGAAGACACCTTCCCACTGTCTAGTCTACTCTGGTTTTTGTGGTAAATGAGCTCCCAGCACTAGTGAGTCAGCCTAGATTCAACACTAACACCAGAATAACCAGGCACCATCCTACCCCTATCACCTCTCAAATGTCACCATGTAAAACACTGATTTAGAGTCTCTGAAGCAGACAGTGTGGAGCAAACTGTGGTGCAAAAGGAATCTGATCCCAATTCAGCACTATTTTCAGCATTAGAATGCAAAACTCCTTATTTCCTGGTTGTTTGTTGAATCTTCTCAAAACACACTGAAAACATATCATCATCATGATTTTTAACCTAATAAGTGTTATCCAGGAGAAACCCCAGCAAGATTTAATTTAAGGTCAAAAAATGGGGGTGGGGAGAAGCCATTACCACTTGGACACATTCCAAAGTGGTTAATTACATGTTATCTGCCTAAATTATCTTGTTACTTTAATCAGATATGGTAATAATCATCATTTCTTAGCTCACTTCAGTACTGCTGATTCTATTATTACCACTTCTGTATTAGTAATTGAACGTTTGGGCAAAGAGTGGTTTCTCTTTCTTAGTGCCTTTTTGAGAAGAATCCTCACTAGATAGAGGAGCTCCAATTCACAGAATAGAAAAAGAGGATGGGAAGGAGGAACAGAGAATTTCACACAATTATTCATTTTCCAAAAGTATATTGTGCAGAATTCCTTTAATCACAAAAATGCCTGTGTATTTTTAATGATTTCATTTTCTTTCTTTTCATTTTATGCACAATTTCTTAGACTCACAATTGCCACATTCAAACAAGGCACAACTCTATTTGAATATAAATATTCAGATATCAGTGGGGGTGCAACTAAAGGGCACTAATAGAAGCATTTTTGTTTGGTGCTTCTCAAATTTAATGTGCAGACAAATCCCCAGGGGAGCTTGTTAAAATTCAGATTGTGACTCCATGGGGCTGGGGTGGGGCCCAGAGTGAGTTTCTCATGAGCTCAGGACCCAGGTCCACAGATCACACTGAGAAGCAAGGATCCGGGTGATTCCATGGCTCTGAACCATGGGGTACAGGTGACTTTTAATATAAAAAAATGCTACAATGATCCCCTACTACCAAGAATTGTATTCCTGGAGCTAATTTTCTCTCCTCATTTTAATTCAAGCCCATTTTGAAAATACAGAACCTATCACCTGCACCTTTATTTGATCATTTTAATTTACCTTTCTATACCTTTTTCATTCCTTTAGAAACAATTCCACTTTCTTTTACCTTTTTTCTAGAAATCATTAGTCTTAAAAGAGGAACCTTATCAATAAGACTCGCCGCAGTCCGGCTGCAGCGAAATAACCGGGTGGGTGACGAGCAACTTGTGTAGATCGATACAGCAGGAGTGGGAGCCGTTTATTGTAGGACTGGAGGAGTATATATACATTACACACAGCTTATCTTAATTAACATAAACTAGATACAGCAGTCAACCAATAAGGAATCTCCACACTTAATGGCTCGCTGGCGTTACTTCACAAACCACTCCCTCTGCAAAATGCCAGGTGCCATCTTGACTTGTTTACAGACTCTAACAAAGACTACAATTTGAATCCTTTCTAGCAGTCGTTTTAAAAACTCATTCCCCTATTTCTCCCCACTCAAAGAGAGAGTTTGCCTTAGTCAGTTGTGCAACTGCAGAATTATATGAAGTTTAAAGATTACTGTGCCCCTTTTCTATCTGTCATGATCTCTACACCCCATCCCAATGGATGTTTGTATTTGGTCATCTCATACACTACTAAGAAGTAGACTCACTCACTTGGTAATTATATGTTGAGCCACTGCCACATGCAAGGCAGTGTTCTGGAGAGAGGGAAGAATCAGTGTTAAACAGTTCTTACGTATTTACAGTCTTGAGCAAATGTTGAGCAAGGAATCAGTACACATTTTGTACCTATAAGCAGGTACTAGATTATTTGAAGGCTTGCATTTTTTTCCTCCAATACTCTTTCCTTCAGAACCTATTTGTTCATATCTTATCATCTTGGCTGCTCCCATATCTACTATCCCAAACACTGCCAGGCCCATGACTCAAGCTGTTTTTTATGAACACAATATGGCAAAAACACACTCTCTTCCCTCTCAAACACGCTCTCCTTTTAGTTTTCCCTATGTGCAATGAACCTCTACTCTTTCACACAGTAGGTGCTGAATTCCGGCAGACCTCTTGCACATCCTGTAGTCAATGCATCATCAAGATCTGTTGATTCTTATTTCAGAACATCTCACAAACTTGACTTTTCCTGCTATCATCCTCTATGAAATTAAACAACCAGTAGTCTTTCCTTTTTCTAAATTTGATATGTACCCACTTGTGTATTCATAAACTCATTTCTATTATTTTAATATTAATTGCATACTCTCTTAGTGAGAAGTCTTAGGGGGAGGTTCTGTAAAAATCATAAAGATAATTAATAGGCTGTTTTCCTCTTCAGTCCTACATAAAATAGTTAATATCACAAATATGTTATACACATGTTTATAGCTTAACATTTGATAGCGATATATAACTTCATCGATGGAATGAGTAATCTTGTTTTTGTTGTCCTTATTGTAATACTATCAATGAGAGGAGGACGAGGCCTTACCAAAAAGTAATGCTATGAGGAAGGAACCAGAGATCCCAAAGAAAAACCACCACTGAAGTGCTAGAAGAACCTCTGGACTTTGGGGCTTCCTAACAGCATGGACTTTGGGCTTCCTAACAGTATGACAACAGGTGAGCTCTGGTTTGCTAATTATGGTACTGAGGGTAACATGAAAACCAGTCCAAGAGTTTGATGTAATTGTACTCCCAGCTAGTCAAATACATTTTACCCTTTAGTACTTAGCACCTTCAATTTGTTTGAAATGCTTGCATTCACATTGTTATTTTTAGATAAAGATAATTTCTTGGGAATAAAAGTAACACATAAGAACAGAGCAGACTCGATTTGTGCTACCAATCATGTTTGTCCTACATATCACCAATCACTTGTGTTATTTTTGGTTCCAAAAGGAACATAAGATCCCTGAGGTTGACTGGTTTTTGTGTGGTTGTTGTTTGTTTGTTTTTGTTTTAATTTTTGTTTTTTCGCATTTCTGTGTTTCCTACTGCAAATTGCAGAAACCTGGACACTGCAAATGTTGGGCAAATGTTGAGCAAGGAATCAGTACAAATTTTGTACCTATAAGCTGCTTTCCCACAATGCATCCAATCTCCCCCTCCTCCAGCACTGTACCTTCTCTGGGCACAGTCCTAATGGTCCACAGCCATGGGTTTCAAGCTATCTTTGATTCCTAGAACTCTCCCAACCATTGCTATCCACTCATCTTTCAGCTCTTCAAGAACCATCTCAGGGGAAACCACCCCCATGAGCCTTGCCCCATCCTCCAAAAATGGGGTCTCTCTTTTTAAGCCACCAAAGGCACAATTTTTTTATCTCATACGTTCCAACACTTTAGTGTTTTGTTCCCTCCTACCTCATGCTGCTCCCTCATTGTTCCCAAGCATAGGCCCAGCTCTCCAAAATTACTGCAAATAGATTCAGAGCAGGCAAGACCTTAGGGACTTCATTCTAATTGAGGTATTAATGTTTTCCCCAGGTCTTCAATTGCACCTGTATTAGAATCAGATCTATCAAGGGGTTTTTTTTATACACAATATATATTCTATAAGGACCAAAGTGAGTAATACTACTCAACCTATTAGATATGCCTAATGATTTTTACAGAAAAGCAATTTCACAGTCTCCTTGAATTCTAATTTTATATGTCAGAGTGATAATGATAATATACAGAGGAACTTCTGGGCAATTATTCCTCAGGCTGCTTTGAGAATGGTTACCTTTCCCAATGGCTGCACACATTAGGGTCTTCAAGATTCAGAGGCAATGCTGTCTTAATCCAGTGGCACAGCAGTAAACAGACAAGGCTCAGGCATGAATTCAAAGAAATAATCATTTTTTTCCTGAAGAACAACCTGAAAAAAAATAGAACTGCATTAAAATCACCCAAACAGAATTATTTTCAGTAGAGCAATCACTCAGTACCAGTTGTCTCTAGGGCTGACACGTGCATAACAGTCCATGTATTTAAATAGCCAGGGCACTACATTTTGTGGTTCACAAAAGAGAGGTGTTTCTTATGTTGTGCAGAGTGCCTACGGAATTGTAAATCACTAAAATGTGCAAATCATCATTAATTACCACCACCACAAAAGACCTTCTCATCCACGCCAGCTGATTATTAAAGGAATCCACCAGAATAACACAGAGCTTCCAGATTCTCTCAACAGGCATATTCCCTTCTGGAAGAAGAAGGCCCACAGAGAAATCTGGCCTCATTTGTCTTAGAGAATAAATGATGAAATAGAAGCTCCTTTGACTCCAAGAAAGGCACCTCTGGCTCAAGCTGAGAGTCATTCAATAATTCTTTCAACATGGACTGAATGCCTACCCAATCTTAGGTGCCATGAGAAACTGGTTACAAAATAGAACTAGTCCCCTTCCCTATCCTTTAAGATTCTTATAATGTATTGATTGTGACATAAATATCTTAAATGCACTGCTTCAGCTTCTCCATTTGCTGAAAAGAAACTATCTTATAGTGGTTTCTGCAAAAATAAATAAATAGAAAAAAAAAGGTGTTTAGAGGTCCATTTTGGAAAAAAATGAAGCTAAAGATCATAATCAAAAAACAAATGGCAACATATTTGGAAGCCTGGAAAACAGGTAAGCTGGCAAAAGAGAGGAAAAATAAGAGGGAGAATGTTCCAGACAGAGAGATCCAGGGGTGAGGGAGGGCCAGGTGCATCTGGGGAACTCAAATCAATTCATAGCAAGAGAAAGGAGATAGTTGGAGAAGGAGACTGGGGGCATACCACAGCAGGTCTTATAAGCCATTGTAAAATATGGAACTTCATCCCAGGATAACAGGGAGCTGGTAAAGGGTACTGAGTGACACTGGAAAGATGACTCTGGCTATAGGGGACGACTGTTAGAGGGAGCCAGGTCAGATGCCAGTGTGGGGAACCAGGAAGCAGAACTGGGATGGCAGGGAGTTGAGTGACTCTAGGAGATTTTTAGAAGGTGGAATCCACAGGACTTGGCTACCAAATGCAAGACTAGGGGAAAAGAAAGACTTCTGGTTTAGTCCTGGTGGAAATGATCAGTTGTTCATTGAGATCGGAAGCACAAAACCCTCCTCCTCTGGGGAGGGAAGCTTCAAGTTCAGTGTTAGATGAATCAAGTTTGAGGTTTCTATAAGGTATTCCAGTAAAGCCACCTACAGGAATTTGTTGAACATCTACTATTTGCCAGGCACATGTATGTAACAATTGTAATATCATATGCACCTGAGAATCACAAGCATTTCTTCACTTCTTGGAAATTCACACTCAGAAGGAAAAGCTCAATTGTCACACTGTGTCATTGTAAAAATGGACATCAAATTAGAAATAGCTGATCCATTGACTAAATTACAGAAAAAAAAATAAGCATTAACCTGTCTGTTGTGAAACTAATAACAATGGGGCAGATTATTTAATCCAAGCTATCATTTCCAGACTTTAATTTTCCATACCATGAAGTTAACAGTTCTTGGTATATGAGAATCAAATGTATTAAATGATAACTTTTTTATTTGAAAAGATAATATTAAATAAATAATAAATGAAAATGAAAGGGAAAAAAACCAACTAGGATGTAGTTTAGCCTTCAAATTCAGGGGGACAGATTGAACAAGGAAATAGTAAATAAATTCTCCAAGATCAAGACTGCAGAGAAGGGCAAGTATTTTAAATGTGTTATGGCAAATTATTTATCTCTGACTCCACAAAGATTAAAGTAAGAGAAAGTGATTTGGAATAAAAAAGTATCTGAGTTTGTAAGATAATTTAAAAATAGTGTTAGTCATTAAGGGAAGTTGTGAAATCTTTAGGAAGCATATTCTAATGCAATATATAAAGCATAATTAGCCAAAATATGACTTATAACATAATTTCAATTATTGATATTTCTCACTAGCTTACATTAAAAAGTTGTAAAATCTGAAGTTTAACATTATGTAACTAAAGAAGCTATTCCATCTAACAGGAATGAATTAAAAATAATGATGAGGAGGAGGAGGAGAATGATAAATGGCTAACATTTCCTGGCTCATTATTGTGTGCTAGACACAGTACTGAGCTCCTCATGAACTATTTTAATCCTCACAGCTTACCCCAGAAGTAGGGGGTTTTATTGTTCTCATTTTACAGCTGAAGACATGTAATATACGCCTAGTGTTTCCCTCATCTGTCAGAAAAAGAAGACATTTATTATATTTGGTTGTAACAAATAAGCAGAGCAAATATCTCTCTGTCTCATAGCTTTTCTTTGCCAGGGTAAGCATTTTGTTTCAATGAAGTGTGAAATTCATATATTAACTTTCATTCTTTCCTCAAAGACAAAATGAAGGTTGGTGAGCAGTAATCTGCTATCTCCTCATAAACAATTACCCCAAATTGAGGAGTTTATTTCCTGAGTCACCATCTCAGATCAAACCATCCATTTACCAATTAGAAATGTTTAGTCTGTAAAGTTAGAAATTACCCCCAAGCAAATAAAACTGCCAAGGAAAACAATGAGACTGTGTGATCTCTCAATGTAAAAATTGTGACACTAGACTTCCAGTTTCTCTTTTTGCTTTGCACCTGATGCAATGCTTGTGAAAGTGGGTGGCAGGAAAAAAGTTGAATTTGGTTACCTCCTCATTGCTTTTTAAATTCAGCATGTAGAAATGTCAAACTGCATCGCAAAGTCACAGGTGGCATTTGCGGAAGGGAAAAGATCAGTATTTAAAAGATGTGTATGTGTGTGGTCACCTACATAAATTGGTCTCTTCATCCCAAAGCAGTTTATTAATTAAAATCAGAAAATTAACTGAGTTCTAGAACAATCTATATTAGAGAATAAAGTGTCAAAAGTAAAGGGAATGGCTAGATCAATATACAGGGATCAAGCAAACTCAAGTAAGATGGTTAAAACTGAGAAAACAGTGCAAATATTATAAACGTTGGAAAAAGAAGACATCTCACAAATATTCGAATAAACTATAACTATAGAAACACAGCATTTCACTATAATAGAAAATGTGGATTGCTCTATTGTTCCATATTGTTTAATGAAGGCTCTGATATGCAATCCAACAGTTAACAGAGCATTACAGTGTACTCTATTTTATTTGTTGTCTTCTATAGGTGAGCATGATTTTTCCTTTATGCCTGTTCTGGTGAAGGAAAAGTTGAATATGTTTTCCCCTATTTCTGTCTTCTATGCTTTCATATAATTTTCTACACTACAGTGAAAATAAAAACAAAATATAATTTTTCAAAAATAGCATTATTTCAATTGGAAAAAAAGCAACACAGTAGTAATGTGCTTCATTAAAAAGAAATATTTTGAATATATTCAAAACTCTAAATTGAATATTAAGATACCCTCACCCACCCGGTCTTCATCATCAAATAACTTTCCTTATGATTCCATTTAACAAAATTTTAAATGTAAAAAATATAAGTCATTTGCATAAACCCCCTAGTGCCAAACTTGATTGCATCCCAGATCATTCACTTAATTATTATGGAAAAATCAAAACAGAAAATCAGTACAACTGATTAGCATTGCTAAAGTGCTCCTATTAGAAGAGGAGACACAGCCCGCAGAGTTAACTCTTCCTGCCTTGCAGCTCCGTTTGGAATACAGGCTTGCTTATCCCACCACAAAAGCCTCCATCCATAATCAGGTTGAATAAAATCCTTACAATGGATGAGTCTGGGTACTCATAATAAACAGTATTTTCTTTATCAGTGTGTTAAGGAGAAATAAATAACAGGGCGTCTACTTACTAATTTATTTTGCAACAACAGAGGGATAAATGATTCTAGGCAATTCCTTTTGGGCTCTAAATTCGATTACTTTTCTAAAAACATTAATTGTACACATAGAAATAACTAGGGTCCCCACATCCAGTTTTTTTCTCAAGCTTATTACCTATCTCCAAGATCTTCTCACAGTATTCTAGATTAAAACCAATTTCTTAATTAAGAATAGCCACTTTTCCACAATCAATTTTCCCCTCTGGATGCCAAGAGCCATCTATTCCACTTGGCCACTCTATCAGGCCTAGAGAGGCTGTGCTACTTGCTTCTCTTCAAACGACTCAGACAGGCTGCCCAGGTGGGGCAGAAGGCAATGGGCTGTTCTTCCTGGAGCTTCGTGCCTATGAACATGGTATCCACAGTTCAGCTTCAGCATATTAATGATTAACTTTTTCTGATTGCCCTGAGAACACCCTCAGATGAGAACATCCATGGAAATACAACTTTGCTGATAAAAGGAATCCTTGAGGCACAGTCATGATTTGTATTTTCACCACTCAATGTGTGTCACTCAGCTTTGTGCTAACAAACCAATTGGCCTTATTGCTTTGGGTCTGAAGTGGCAGGTGCTCAGGTGGAGAAGACCTGTTCACCTCATGGCCAGGTGTGACAGAGAGAGGAAGGCATGAGGTCCCACTATCCCCTTCAAGAGCACACCTCCAGTGATCTAAAACCTCCTGCTAGGACCCACCTCTTAATATTTCCACCAGCCCTTAACAGTACACACTGGGGAACAGCCTTTAACACATGCACCTTTGAGGAACATTTAAGATCTAAACTAGAGACTAGTCATTCTAACAGCACTTTCCATTGCCCAAGCATGACTCTTCGTTTCAAGCAGTACATGTGTAATGGTTAATTTGAATTGTCGATTTGATTGGATTAAGCGATGCCTAAGATTGAAAGACTTCTGGGTGTGTTAATGAGGGTGTATCCAGTAATGACTGGCAGGTGGGAGAGCAAACTGAAGTGGAGACCCTCTCTAAGCATGAGCAGCACTGTCCAACAGGATGGTGGCTTGGATGGAATAAATGTTGGAAAAACAAGGAAGCAGCAGCAGA